GGCAAGTCATTTAGCTTCTCTAAGCCTCAATTCCTTTCTATACAGAGGCTATAATAGCTCTGCCCTGCCCTAGAGGGGCTGTGAGGACAAATACACTGAAGACAGTTGGGCACACAGATAGCGCAGTAAGAAGGGCCACAGATAAGTACCATACCTAGGCCTGGTCTACACTACAGCGGAAGGTCAACTAAAGATACACAACTCCTGCTACGTTAATTACATAGCTGGAGGTGACATATCTTAGTGTTTCCATGCTGTGCACACAGCAGGAAGTCCCTTACTCCTTGTGAGGCGCAGGACTACTGGCACCAACAGAGGCATCCTCTGAGTTTGATTTAGCAGGTCTTCAGTAGACCCGCTAAATTGAACCTCGGAAGATTGAACTCGGCAGCGCGGATCTTCCGCGTAGTGTAAGACGTGGCCCTGGAAAAGAATGGGTTGGTCTGCATGGCAGGCAGATCCCTCCCCAGTGGTTCCCGTCTATAAGGCATAGAGGAGACCATAAGAAGGCAGCAAAAATATACGTTCATCTTAACAAATGGCATTGCTGAGCGGCTCCAAGTGAAATACTGGATTTGATTCACTTTCATTTAACTCTGCCCCAGGCTACCGCAGCTGCTTCCTAACCCACTGTCCTTTTCCTGAAGGATGTTCCCTTCCTTTTCTTCACCTCCTCCCTCCCACTGGACACTTGGGGCATGACCGAAATGCTTTAGGGACGGCCTGCGTCAGACGGCCTGCTCCAGTTCTGTCCTCATGCTTTGGCTCCTACCTATTTAATGCCGCCAAACCCGAAGAAGTTGGAACCCAAGGTTAGAGGAACTAGAGAAGTGCTAGCTCTGAAACGACTGCTTGTCGGAAGGAAGCTGCTGATCCTACAGCGAGGCTTGAAAGTGAGGGGAAGGAGACGTGCCGGGGGAGGAGTGGCTCATTTCACTTCGGTTTGATCTCACTGGGCAGAATTTCATTAACGGCTTCCCCCCATCCCCACCCATGTGTTACATTCCCGGCTGTGGCAATGTCACCGAGACACGCTGTCAGTGACCTGGGTGATGCTGCTCAGGTGTCTGATCAGCTGGACCTAAGCAAATGTCCTTAGAGGTCTGGAAATCCAGGGGCTGCAGCAGCTTGGCCCCATGTGCCTTGGAGCAGTTTTGGCACCTGTTGCAATGTGATGTAGAAGCTGCAGGTCAGCTGCCCTTCTGCTGTCTGAATAGAACTCTGCAGAGAAGCCACTGGCGGGGTATTTAGGGTTGCCCGTGCTCTAGGGACAGGAACAGGAGCCTCATTTAGCATGGCCTTTACCCTAAAGCGGGCCCACGGGAGCATTTCCCAGTGCCCTGCCTGTGTGTGTGCGGAGGGTCTGTGGGCCTGGGTCGGTATTTTTAACCCCTTTGCAATCTGTGTGCAACCTGTGCCAGCCTGCATCCTGGCAGAGCTGGGATGGGCACTAACTGATGTGGGGGAGGACAGGAGGGTGAGGATGAAGGCTCTGTGTCTTTAAATTCTCCTTCCCTTTATGTGGGGAAGAGCAGGGCCAGGTGGCTAGTCATTCTTAGCTCCCCCCTGTTCTGGGACTGCCTCGCTATGAGGCCTTCAACAGTGGTAAAGTGCAAGTTAAAACTAAGCTGGAGCAGGAATCCTGCAGGGAACAACCCTGTATTGCTTGGGAGGTGGAGATGGACTAGACATGTGAGCTAAGCTCTCTCTCGAATCGGTGCAGCGGAACAAGGCAGGGATCCTCTCAGTCCTCCTTGCTTGGGTGGTGGCAAATTTCTCCCAATAGAATAGAGCTATGAGATACGCCTCCTCTGCTTAGTCCAGTCTTGTGAACTGACATGACATGGTGCGCCCATGCTCTCCATCCAGCGCTTATCAAGTACCCTGCATATTTCCTGCCCGTGGGTGCTCTACCTCCTACAGCAGGGGTGGGGAACCTAAGGCACCTGGCTTGCCTGGATCCAGCCCCTGAGGGTGAGGGCTCCTTGGGGAGCCCACGCTGGCACTCCAGCCCCCCTGCCATTTCCCCATGGGGTTGGAGCACACAAAATCTTCTAGCCTGGACCCTGCCCCCCAGCTCTGGTGTGTGATGGGAATGTGGGGAGGGTCTTTTTCCTTCTCAGTCGGGGGCCAAATCAGTGAGGACTTGGTTTTTTCTTGTTTGCTTCTCATTCCTGTGGGTCAATGGCCCCCAACCCAAAAAAGGTTCCCCAGCCCTGTCCTAGAGAGTTGGCGACTCTACATTAGGTGAGTCTCTGACCCCCATTTTGGCCAACTTTCTCCTGACTGCTCATTGTTATTGCACTTCTAACTCCTATCTCTTGGCTCCAACTCCACCCAGGGCCTGCTGGTCCCCAGAGGAGTAACTCACTTCCCTCTGTCCACAAGTAAAGTCCACTGTGCTCTAGATTTTACAATGCGACAAAAAACACTGAACGTGACTCTCCTTACAGAAAAGCAACACAACAGAAAATGACAAACGTTAAAAAAAAAAATAATCACACAGGTCAGTCTGAGAAGCACCTTAAACATGGAGAGACTGTTGTGTAGCAATAGTCCCCTGGACACACAGAGGCACCAAAAAAATCATGATTGGCAGGAGGAATGTGCATATAGTACAGCGGATAACTTTGTTATGACTGGAGATTAAAAAACATACCAGAGATGGGCCCAAACTACAGGACTGGGCTCCCTTTTGGGGTTCCGGAGAGGCCAACATTTGGGGTTCTTGAAAAGGGGTTCAGTTTGGACCCATCCCTCAACATTAAAAACAAATACAAAGAGTAACGATACAAAATACAACCCCAGGAGGAACTGGTTCCCCTCAAGCGATCACTGGACCAATAATGGCTACAAAATTGCTGACAAGGGATGGTTTTAAAAGTCTGGCTGATCCAGGTGGAAATTTCAGCAGCAGAGAGAGAGGGGGTGAGAACCGTAACCCCTGGCAGGGGAATTTCTTCTGACAACTGCAAGGGGTAGGTGTCCTTTGACCATCAAGCTGCTAGCATTGTATGCATTGGCTGTTTGGGAATTAAAACAAGCTGACCGCACTACCCAGCTGGACTCTTACCTTGAGGGAGGCTCACCTGGTGTGCACTGTCTGTCCTTGTCGGAGTGGCTGTCTCACTCTGACAAGGCAGCGAGTCACTACCCCTTCGCAGGAGGATGTGAAACCAGCCAAAGTCTCCAGCTCAGTGGAGAGGAAGGCAAGTTGGGGGTAGATGTAGGCAGACAGTGTTCACACCAGCACACCTTGCCATACGCCACACTAGCCCCGGATTCACAGCTCAGATCTGGACATTACATTTTGCAAAGGGCTGACATGCAGGCACTAGCTAATGAGTTAAGTCGCAGGTTCTAAACCACATCCTAGCATGAGGCATCATAAAAAGAGAAATCTGCCCTGACAGATAAAGGCTCTGACCCTAGAGCTGATCTATTCAATCCACCCATACTAAGATGTCTGAACCAGCTGGGACACAAGCAGAACTCAAAATTCTTTGATACGAGCAGTTTCCCCTCCAGGTGTGTTTTCAGCTGGCAGAGGTTGCGGTGGTTAGAACATTCAGAGAAACTGAGGAAAAATGGGCTGACTCCAAAGATCTCTTGTGTTGCTGCTTCCCTGTGGCTGGAGAGGCATTTCTTGACTGAGGAATGGCCACAAAAATGGATCTTGCACCATGAACAGAGGAAGAGTGGGTAGGAAACCAGTTGCCATTCTCAGAGTGACTCCTGAGGATGAGGAGGAAGAAGAAATCTGCCTACAGCTGCAGGAAATAGATAATCACGGGCCATGGTTTGCAGTAACACTTGGCTGGCTACCACTAACAGTGCCCCCTCTAGCTTTATTAAAAGATAACACCCTCTCCTCCCACAGGTAACTGTTCCTCTTGTTTTCACTTTATAAATATGTCACCATTAACTACCTGAGCTGGTTGGAAAACACCAACATTTTCACTGTTTTTGGGTGGACAGTTTTAAACGACTCTATACACTGGCCAACAAACCGCCACATAGAACATGATGGAAACTTTGAACCTTTCCAGCCATCTCTGTTAATATGAGCACAGCCTCTGTGTGTGGCGGAGAAGCTCAAGGGAGCTGGAGGCGTGGTGGGAAAGGCAGCTAAGCGATTGGATGCTATTCAAATGGGAGAAAATGCTGGTCTCCAAGATGAAGACATGGTCATAACTTCTCTGGTTTTATGGCTTTTCAGCCACCCTGGTGGGGATTTCATGGCTTCCTTGTTTTCTTACTGGTTTAACTCTTTTCGAATAATGAGTGGAAGCTCAGAGCACTACAGACCACAGCCCTTCCAATGGGCGTCGAGGAGGGATTTGAAGCAAGATCAGGGAACTCCAATATTTCCATTCTGCATTCCTTTTTCTTAATGCCATGTCTCCACGTACCAGAGGATCGACGCTCTGGCGATTGATCTTCTGGAGTTCGATTTAGCAGGTCTAGTAAAGACCTACTTAATCGAATGCTGAGGGGGCCATCAGTTCCAGTACTCCTCTCCATTGCAAGGAGTAAGTGAAGTCAACGGGAACCTTTCTCCCATCAACCTCCCATGGTGGAGACGGCGCCAAGCTCAGCTTAAGGTACATCGACTCCAGCTGTGTTATTTACATAGCTGAGTTATGTACCTTAAGACGACTTTATCCCCGCAGTGTAGACCTGGCCTAAGAGAAAGACCCTGTCTTGGGCCCACTTCCCATCTGATAACCTGATCCTTTCCCCTCTGCTTGGGTACCAAGAGGTGCCATCCTGCAAGGCTCCATGAATCCTGTCAGCGCAAGAATGACTACTTCTGGCAAACAAATGCTGCTTTTTGCTTAAAGCTTGGCTTCCCCCATGTATTTGTACAAAGAAACTAAGTGGCAGGCTTATAAACCCCATGCAGCTCTCAGATGACTTCACAACCTCTCTCTCTCTCTCTCTCTCTCTCTCTCTCTCTCTCTCTCTCTCTCTCTCTCTCT